CAGAAAAAAGCGCCAGTCTAGACGAGGATCTTTCGGAAAATAAAGCCTTTTCTGAAAGATCCCTTATCTTAAGAGGGATAAGGGATTTTTCGGAAAAGGCTTTATTTTCCAAAAGATCCACGTTTAGACTGGCGCTTTTTTCCAGCAAAGCTCCGTGCCGAAAAAAAGCGGCAGCCATTTTTATGCTAATGAAGCAGGGGAGATTTAAATCCCCACTTCATTAGCAATTGCAATACGTCTAATTTGCATCCCTTTTACGAAAAAGGGATGCAATCTAGACATAGCCCTTATGTTTTGTGTTCTTCACAGCCAGACCAGCTGGGACAAAAGGCTGAGTTTTTCCAGCAAAGCTCCGTGCCGAAAAAAAGCGGCAGCCATTTTTATGCTAATGAAGCAGGGGAGATTTAAATCCCCACTTCATTAGCAATTGCAATACGTCTAATTTGCATCCCTTTTACGAAAAAGGGATGCAATCTAGACATAGCCCTTATGTTTTGTGTTCTTCACAGCCAGACCAGCTGGGACAAAAGGCTGAGCCATTCCACCACAGCCACCCACCAGAGCCCAGGGGATCTGAAGGCACGCCAGGGTGCACAAGGACTGATGCAGCAGCACATCAGTGCTCTCCGTGACATCCACCATACCCTGGCGCACAAGTTCCGCACCAACCTGGAGTGATGGGAGCCTGCCTGGGACCAGCTGATGCAGCGGTGTGATAACATATGTGTTGTCATGTCCCCCTGACAGAACACGCGCCTGATGCTGCTGCTCCTGGCTTCAACCCTCCTGCCCCCCATGCTATGCCCAAGCAGCACATCAGTGCTCTCCGTGACATCCACCATACCCTGGCGCACAAGTTCCGCACCAACCTGGAGTGATGGGAGCCTGCCTGGGACCAGCTGATGCAGCGGTGTGATAACATATGTGTTGTCATGTCCCCCTGACAGAACACGCGCCTGATGCTGCTGCTCCTGGCTTCAACCCTCCTGCCCCCCATGCTATGCCCATTCCT